AGAAAAAAAGAAAAAAGAAAAAAAGAAAAAAGGAAAGAAAGAACAGTACCCAAAGAGTAATATATTTTCCTTTCAAGATGTTACTGGCTTTCCAGGCTTTGCAAAACCTTAATCAGCTTGGGCTTCTACTGTTTATAAAGGAAAGAAGCAACTGGATGGGCCCTCTCTCTATTGCTCTTCCTAAAGGGAAAGGGGAAGAGAAAAAGCGAGACCAGGAGATAGGTGAGGACAGAGTATCCAGTGTTTACAAGGCTAAGATTTAGAAGGATTATTTTAAAGGCAGTCGCTAAAYGCTCTCTTAATCAAGGTTTGGGTCACTCGTGTCATAGTCAGCAGAAATGCTGCAGGTTGGACAATCAACGAGAATTTTAGAAGACATAAATCTCAACATAATCTGCGATATCCATAATATGCCAATTTTCATTGAAAACCAGAACCTACTAAGKCTCTCTTCTGAAACCAAGCACGAGCCTCTTGCTAAATATGTCACAGGAATGTTAATTTTAGCTGAGAGCTCATCGATTTACACTTTCCAGTAATAACTTTTTAGTATTTAAAATATGGGGAAAGACAAATTAGTATCACGGATACTACACTGTCTGGCATACGAACACTGTTAAATAATGCATGCAACAAATTTTTATACAAGTTGTAATTAGATTTCTAGGATTGCTTGAATATTATAATAGTCATTTCATAGCCGCTACTATTTTTAATTTTAATAATAATCTCAGTTAACTGGTGATCTCTCCCAAAGAAGCAACAAAAAAATGAGTTACAGTAAATCTTCATTCTTGCTAAAATATTACGCTTCCCAAATTATGGAGCAGATGACAAAATACAATTAACTTCCCAAAGAGCTACCAAAAAATGTCTGTTAAATCCATACTGTAATGCCAAATATGCTGATGCAGTCGGGGTTGAGGGATGAGAAGCTGTTGATCAGGCTCAAAATTGAGCTTGGCAACATCACAGTCTCCTCAAGAGCAAATTTGTTCTATATCTGTGACCAGATTTTTCCACCAACCCTGCTCAGGGAGATTCTGCATGATGATATTTGGGTCCCCTCCACCTTTCTTTTCGTGTGCTCTGTGGGAGTCTTAGGTCACCGTTATTGATGCCACAGTGGGGATGATGGTGATGATGACCTGTCACGTAGGCACTTGCGATGGTTGCAGAGACGCGGTGGGATGAAGGCAACGCAGCTTTGTGGTCACCTGTGATACTCCGGATGTCTGGGGGACTTTTGCATCCCCTTGGGAGCACACGTGCCAGGCCATCCCATGTGAAATTCCCCCGGGATCGGCTTCCTGGGAGCAGAGCCAAGGTGCTCRCTGAGGACCCAATGCAGAGCTCGCGAGCTCCCTTTTTTCCTCCTTGTTTCCTGAGGCTGCTTTCCAGACTCTCCTTTAGCAACGCATAATAAAATTTAACCTTGCAATGTTTTGCCCTGACCAGGCCAAAAGCTACAAGTAAGCATTAGCAGCCTGCTTCTAAAAGAACTAAGCCTTACTCCAGTGTAATAAGGGTGCTTAAAATACGCTGAACCTGCGCCTTTCCAGGGCCTAAATCACCCCAGACACATTCTGCGCTTTCACAGCTTTGGGTCGTTTCCTTCCCTTTTCCTCTGTGTTTTTAAATGAAACTCAAGTGCACATTTGTAACAGAACCTAAGAGCTGCCATCATTTTTCTCCAGAAGGAGAGCTGATAACATTGCAGTGAAAGCCCAGCTAAGATAAAAATCCGCAGCTATGCTGTGTAGAAACCAAATTTTATCTTTTTTCCCCCCTTTGTAACACTTCCCTAAGTTTAAAAGAACATCTACTCACTTGTTTATGCTGCCGAGATAAGTATCTGGGAACAGAAATGGAAYCCTGTATTGCATTGCAGTAAACTAACACCACGGATGCAGCAAACAGGTGTGCATAGATCCTGACATCTCCAGCTCCCCGCACGTGTRGTCCACCCCATAATCATCTCTTGACGGAGCAGGGGATGAAGCACGGGAATTCCCATTTTCTCACTCCTACTGGCAGAGCCCTGCTTTGATTTTGCAGGTGGCAATGTCGGACAAACACCGGACAAACCTCTTTGCTTTTTGGGCTGCAAACATCACAATTGGTGGATACTGCCTTAAGGACATGAAAATGAGGCGCTTTTCCATAAGAACTGCTATAAGAACATCACTATATATATATATGCTTTTGTTTGTTTGTTTGTTTTCTGGCAGTACCTCAGAGATAGCAACACAATAATTACGGGGACGGTGGAATGTGGTAAGGGAGATCACTGCAGATGAAATGAAAATCTGATACAACGCAGCCTAAAATAAGAGTTTTTGCCTTCTGGCCTACAGACGTGTGAAGATTTATTTTTCTCCCTTTTYTCCTTCTTTTCAAGCAAAAACTGCTTTGAAAAAGAGAAAACGAAACAGTGTAAGCAGCTCCTTAGGAAGCATCATGGAACACGTCCCGAGGCCGGGCCGCCGCTGCCAGCGCTGCGGGACTTGGGCATCTCATTTTTCAAAGGATTTAAGCCCTCATGTGGAGTCCTCAGGCTTTTAAAACAAAGATCCCTCATGAGCGAAATCGCTGCCTGTGCTCCCTGAACAGAAGCGAGTTGAAACCGAACCTCCTGGCACGGTGCTGTGGTGGCGACGGCTTCTCCGGCCTTTGGGACATCCCACAGGCCTGAGATGGAGCGTGGGGAGGGTGTCTGGGGAGGAAAAACAGCCTTTCCTGGTCTGCTCTGCAGAGAGTAAGTCATATATAAAAACTAAGCAGCAAAGAAGATGAGCAAACCCAGCATGAATGCAAACTTGGAGCAAAAGGCACCCCAGATGCCTGAACTGGGTCCCCTCCGTTGAACCTTGCGGATTTGTTCGYTCCCGTGTGGAGGTGAAGGAGCTTGGTTTTCAGGCAATGGATTTTGAGTGAGAACATTTATTTGTATGGCTCTGGGAGCAGAAATCAGGGCTGTATGTTCCTTAMGCTGCAGTTTCTTGGCATAGTTCAGGCCTAAGTGCATAACCTGTAAAGTAACACTATCCAGGCTGGCCACCAGAAACGAAGCGGACCCGCTTGCTTGTCTAGACACTGACAATCCCTAAAGGAATGTGCATTTATAGGGGAAAAAAGCAACAAACCCCACATGAAAGCGTAGCTCGGAGGGGTCTGGTGCCCCTTAAACCTCAGGCACGTTACGTAGCAGACTTAGCTCTGCAACTTCCTCGACACCTGGATCCTGACGCGGCGCCTTGGGTTCAATTGCTCCGTTTTCCTGCAGCACCTTTCCCAGTCTRGAAAGAAGGCTCTTCCCACTGCCCCCCGGCTAAGCTTTACTTTCCTTTTTTTTTCCTCTCCTACTGAGAAATAGAAAGCATTTATTAAAATGTAAATAGTAAACTTAATCAGATTCTGTTCCAAAGAGAGCAACAAAAAGAAAYGCCATCAGAAAACCAGGATATTCTCACAGAAATACGCTGTATTTCTTGAAAACAACAACAAATAATTACTAAAACAGCCTCTGCCCTAAATATTCTACATTTCAGAAACGCCACAGCTTTCCAGATAAAAATCAACACTAACTTCAAGAAAGTAGTTTCCAGTACCTCTGGAAAGGAAACTGAAGTTTCCAGCTAGAAATTTCTTCTAACCTCCTTCTCTTGCTTCACATTATATTTCTCACCTGCTAGGATGATTTCTATTAGCTATGCCAATACTAATAAAATGAACCGTTATTTTTTTGCACAGTTAATTTATCCCAATGACATAGACTTGCAATGTGTCTTGCTTCATTTTGTAAACTAATAACAGGAATGTGTCCAGGTSAAGAGGTGCAAGAGATGGATCGAACTAAGGGCTACGGGAGAGCCTGATCTGAAGCCAGATTCACATCCAGTAACATCAAATGATGTAGGAAAAGCATCTGGATGCTCTTCTGGGATAATGAAAGTGCAGCTCTAGCAGAAGAACATACAGCGCTACCAATAACTTAGATTCAACCTTCTGAAGCCTTGTTCAGAGTTACAAACATCAGAACAAGCAGGTTTTCAACAAGAAGTTTTTAACATTTTCCTTGAAAATAACAACAAACAACCCTAAGTAGGTTTTCTGCATCTTCTTCCATCCATAATACCTAACTGGACAATTGTTAATTAATTCAGTTAAAACGATAAAATTATTATATACTCATATAGTAACAGCTTTATCATTTTACCATAGAACTTGATCACTGCCTTTTTATTTTTTAATTTGATGCTTAGCTGGTTGGTCTAAAAAGCTTAACTTAATACAAGCAGTCCAACCTGTCATCATTTGTATGCACTTACCAAAGCTAAAGGAAAGAAAAATCAGCTGATGTTATTTTTAAACTAGGGAAATATTTTTTATCCCCTGGTAAATTTGCACCTCCTCCCACAAATGCATCCATCTTTCTTTTTGAATATGGGACTTCTTGTCTTCTCCCTCCTTTAAATATCACACTTGCTTCCTTCACAAAACCAGCCAAAGAATAGATGACTACTGGTTGGGGATTGACTTAAACATGCAGCAAAGTAAATGATGCATTTCTGCAACACTCCTCAGCATCCAATTCTTCAGGCAGCATTTTGGATATAAATCATTAAGTTAAACATGTGGAAGCAAAACTTGAGAGAGCTGAGATAATTTCATCCTCTCCCACCAACCTGGCTTGAGAAAAATGAACTTTTCTCCCCAGCTCAGGCAAAACCAAGTTGGCTGGAGGAAAACGCACTTTTTTTTCCAGGATCAGGCACGGGGGAGCCTCGCTTGCTCGCCTTTGGATGGGAGGGTTGGTCACAAGGCAGCCCCTTGGTCCAGTTTAAATGTTGTCCCCTCTCCCGTTTGCTCCTTGCCAGGCCCTCATTCACTGCATGGTCCTTTGGGATGGTGACAGCGAAGGGGATCTTTCTGCACCAGCTTAGACACCAGGTAAAGCACGTTGTGCAGCAAGAGACAAAAATGAAGGCTTTACTTACCATAAATTCCCGTTGAAATGCAGGGGAAGGCCTGTAAAACAAATGAAAGAAAAAAGCAGCAGTGAGATTTCTGTTTTCTGAACTTTAGGGTTTTTTTTTCTTTTTAATCAAAAGCAAGTATATTGTTAAGTGTCTGTTTTTCAACACTGGGAGATTACACACTGCAGCCTTCGCTGTTAGAGCATRGAACTCGCAGGCGTTTTCGTGGCTGGACGTGAAACACTTTCCATATGTTCTCCTTGCTGCCCTGCTAATAAAGCTGCTGTCTATCCCTCCCCTCGAGCTATCAGCAACATTCGAACCCAGAATTGTTACGAAAACTTCCTTTTGAGTTAAAAACCAGTGCCCTGAGCCAGGAGGGTGGAACATTTCGTCCAGAGATTGGTGTCCGTTAGGCTTGAGTTAGAGCTAATTGGCATTGGAGTTAGGCTTGGCTTTGCACTGGAAGATGCGGGTGACAAGTGACAACACGGTGGCCTCCCACCTCGGGATCCAGGGGAGCAACTGGGATAAGAGCTTCCCAGTGGATCCCCCCTGGCAATGAGTCACCACCATGGAACAGGAGAGGGGAATTCTTCCCTGTTTAGTCACGCAGGAAAGCATTACTCAAAGCTAATGCTTGCTTTACATTTAACCAGGGAATTAATTAGGGAATGGTGATTAGGAAAGGAGAGGGCTAATGGAAAGAATACGCCCTTGCCTTCGCTCTGAACACGCCTGAGTCAAATAAAGTGAGGCAGAATTACGGTCTGGTTCCTGCTCGCAACCCTCTGCAGCTCCCATCCTGAAAAATACTCAGCTTTTTAGTTTGTACCCAATAAATCACAGTGAATCAGCTCTTTAAGGAGACGAGGACGGGAGGAGGAAAAGTGCATGTGGTTACAGCACTCAGGCTGAGGTGGCAACAGGCCCTGCAGCAGCGAAAGGGAAAAAGAAGGAAGAAGAGGTGGAAAAGATGGTTTCACCCAGACGTACAACTGGTTTTGAAATGTGCCACGCTGGAAATTTCAGATGTTGAGAGGTGCAGCTGCTCCCCATGCAATGCCTGGCCTCAGGCTGGTGGCACGTGGCCGGCTACTYGCCCTGGTCACTGGAAAACCCCACGGGGCTCCTTCCCCAACGCGGCTGCGGCCCCAACTCAGGTGGATTCTGCTCCCTGAGGGATGACCACGGCCTAGCACCGGCTGATGCAATTTCACGGGATGCGACGGCGCCTTTTTTCTTTCAAGAAGGGCCTRTACCTGAGCTCTCATATCAACTAGTCCTCCTCGCGGCTCCTGGGGAGGCAATTTGGTCTAGATGCCAGGCTGAAATTACAGGCAGCGCAGTAATGGGAAACACACAGCATGAAAAACAAGGCTGTGCAACATTTGGCTTATGGGCTAAGGATGTTAAGGTTTCTAACCTTTTCTGTGCATAATAATATCTTAATTATATATTTGATTTCAATAAAAAAAATTCAATTTCACCACAGGAAACATTCATTCCTAACGCCACAACAAAACGTTTCTCTTCCTAATTTGTTGCAAGTGACTGCTATTTATTGACTAACCTTTAATTTCTTTGCTATTAAAATAGTGTTTGCTTTACTTGGGGGCCRATAAGAAAGGCTACCCTGACAACGCTCCAAATGCAAAAATATCTGGAAAAAAMCACAAATAACAACAGCAACAGCTTCATTTTTTTTGTCGCTGGCATCACCTAGAGGGGGAGGCCAAGTTAAATCAGCTCTGTGAATCCAGCAGGATTGGAACTGATTTAGTCCCTTCAGGAGAGGACGTGGGCGCCCAGTCCCTCGTCCTTCCTACTCCAACACTTCTTTACCAGGACTGCGGCTGGGAGCGCTAATTAGGATGAAATGTAATGCAGTGTCAGGAGGAAAAYGCACAACAGCCCCCACGCAGAGGCCAGCTTGGGCTCTCGGCATTTCAATCAGAGGGACTCGGGTGTTTAAATACTTACGGGCTGGGCTGCAGCAAGGGGCTCTCATTCACACCGAGCCACCAGGTATTAATGGGCACCTTTTAGAGGAGCACGGTGGCTACCTGGCCACGTGCTTCCTACCGCCGTCCCTGCAATTGCTTCCACAGAGCAAGGGCTTCCTTTCAATTCAGTGCTCAGCTTTCCAAGCGGGCYGCTGACGGTCACCGTGGCCACCACRGAGCCCTGCAGAATATTTATAYGCTGCTTCCAGCACGATGCCAGATGCAGYGAACAAAAATAATGCAAAATGCAAAATTATTATGGAGACCGTACTCAATGCTCGTGCTTGAGAGCCATTCCCTCACGCCACTTTCATTGCTGAATCTGCACAGAGAGTTTRCAAATGCCTTTTAGAAAGTCCTTATTTTCACCAAAGTGGATGTGATTTTCAGTAACTTGCAAAACCAAGTCAAAATTTCTTGACGTTTTGTGGTATAAGGTAGCTTAGACGTGTTCCACACAGCAAGACAAACTGAGCTCGTTGCCCCTGTCCTTTTCCATGGTGTGCAGAAACAAGCAGCCTTGCTCAGTTAGGGTGCATCTTGGCTTTGGCCTTTACATTGCACCAGCRCAAGAGTATTTTTCCACCATGGCCAAGAAGATGCTTGCAGTTATTAGTCTTTATCTGTTTTTTAAACACTCAAAATAACTAATCTGTCTTCTGCTGTGAAATACTATCCCTACAGCTTCTTAGCAACATTAAGAAACTGCAAAAATGCAGAATGCAGACAAAATAAAGACTCCAAAAAATGCTCCAAAATCCGAAGTGCCCAAACACTATCCATACTGGATGCACAGCAACTTAAATTCTCCTTTCAACAAGAAGATAGAGCCCTCCAGCCTCTCAGAGAACCCAACCCAAAACTCAGGCAACCTCCTGGGCACCGAGGTGACTACGTTACCTTTGGTGCYCTGTTGTAGGTGTTGCAGTTCATTGCCTTGAAAGCTTTTTCACATACACCTAAACCAACATGTATTTATTGCTTAAAGGCTTTCTATGAAAAAGCAAAAGGCTGTTTTTCCATGAAAAGGAAAAAGAAAGGCAGCAAAGAGCTACAGCACACAGATCACAGTGCTTTGAAGCGCTGTTACCAAGACTGCAGTGCAATGCTATGAAAGCTAAGCATCAGCAAAACCACAAAGTAAACTATTTTAAATGGTATCAAGGGTTAGTGAATTACTTGTTTTCATGATAAGATTTTCTCATTTGAATCCAGATCTAGCAGGGAGGAAATGTGAGGGCAAGACAGCGGAGCAAGCTTATCATTCAGAGCGGATAGCTTTGGTGCTGCAAAGGAAGGGAATGTAGATGGATCTCTGTATGGCCAGACATACGGAGTTTTAATTTGCCCCCTTTTGTTGGAGACAGGCATTTTGTAGTCTTCAGAGAGGGCAGATACCCCTCTGAGTGCAACTGCTGTTTTGAGCTGAATTGTGGTTGTCGATCTGGACGGAGAGCCTCTAAATTCTCTTAGTGCCAATACAAGATATTTAAGCTTTAGCTGCCCAAGCTGCAAACCTCCTGCAATCATTATTTTGTGCTACTGCTAGCAGTGCTCTTCCCATTCGTTCTCTCTGCCATAACCATTAGTCTTACTAGTCCAACTTAAGGCCTCCGAGTTGCTATAACCTAAACCCAGTTACAGCATCGTGAACGCCGACATCAGCAACGCCTATTCCTGCAGACCCGTCCAAGCTCCTTTTGCAAATGAGTTCCTTAGATGCTTTTTGAAATTATTATAAAGTCATATGACTCCACAAAGGCTACAAAGCTATAAACCTTAGGGCCTACTGTACTACTACTTGAATTACATAGAATATTCATTAAATAAACACTTAGGTATTTAAGGTAGAGGTAGCATCAAACACTGAAAGTTAAGTTTCCATTACCTTTACTAGAGCAATTAAGCTTGCAAAACCAAACCACTTGATAAGTCTCCAAATAAAATACCATCCTCCCAACTTTTAGGAATCATTATACAATTATCCGGAAGAAAAATAAAATAAAAACTTTATATTATCTGCCAGTCTTAATCTCCTGCCATCAGTACCTTTGGTACATTTCTGGGCTGTAATTTAATGAACAACAAATTTTGCAAGTAACTGTAATTCAAAGAAAACTTAGTAATGGAAAATTCTAATGCAATTTCACATTCTGAAAATGAAGAGAAAAAAATAAATGGGAGAACTGAATATAAGAATGTTTAAACTCAGCTTTCATTATGGGACATATTAGCATGTTAATTAATCTGTCTTTAAAGAATGCAAAAGTAGTAATTTCCACAGAAATGGAAGTGGTCCTCTGAATACAGCAGATCATACACAAGCATTTACAAATTAATACAAGGAGCTTCCATAATTGAACACTGGCAGCTTCGAAAGCTGCACCGTCCAGGCCTGTCAGAAACACTGGTGTGTGGGTGGCAAAGATTTTTAGCAGCAAGTGGACGTGGTTGAAACACAATTGGACTTGGTCACCTTACACACCTGGAAGGTCTCATGAAGGAACCTTTCAAGAAAGTTCTTGAAGGAATTTGATGTCTGCAATGTTCTTCAAATTCCTCAAAACAACCCGTGATCCTATAACAAAGTCATCCTTCCTATACTGTGGATGAATAATTTTCCATACWCCTTCATTTACCAAAGTGTAAGTCAATACTACGTGGTCAAAGGACAGCCGGCCTAGGAAATGATGCACAGCAGTAATCAAATTTAAAACAAAGATCTATCCAAAAGCTTCCCGGAAAGTCTGTGCACTGAAGGAGAAGCAGAGGTGCTGAAAGAAGCCACCTGCAAGGTTTAAAGGGTCAAAGCAACAGCTTTGGTGATTCCTAAATTGCTCTACACTAAATCAGTCTGGGGACTTTTTTGAYGACCTGTTCCATACCATAAATGCAGCCAGGAACCCAGCAACAGTTTGCATTTCTATGGGAATAGTCACAAACTTTAAATAAATAACAGTCAGCTAACAATGAGAATACGAAAGAAAGAAAAGAGGAATCACTACTAATATTTGCAAAATACTTTACTTCGGCATTTAGCATTGAG